ATACAATTTTTGGTGCATTTCTGATGCGGCACTAAGTGCTAAGGAATTATTCTGAAGAATTGCATTTTCTTTTAAAGTTTTAATAATTAGCTGCGCTATTTATTAAAGCCGCCGAATCTCTTCTGAGTTTAAGACAGAATACTCAGTTTCCAAAGATTCTGAATTAAAAAAAGAAACAACAATTGGATAGAGTTTTGCATCAGTATTATTGCTTCTGTCTGTAGAGAGGTAGAATGGAACTGTTTTAATGTAACCAATAACTGAAGATCCATTTTCCACACCAATTTCTTGAAACCATTTCTTCTACAAATGCAGTGGTTTTTTGTTCTTGAATATTTCATAGCGATTTTACTGCTGGGAAACATTTTTCTAAAAAAGCTGCAGCATGATTCGATGCATTCAGTGGCAGGTTGTGCTCCAGTAAAATGGCTGACAACAGGCATTCTGCATTAATAACTTTTTGGTCCTTTGTTTTCACAGAAAAAATTAATTTTTTTTTTCTGGTACAACTCATGCTGTCCTCGTGTATGCATGTTTCAGAACATCTGCCCTTCCACTGTGCGAAATAAAAAAATTCGCAATTACAAATGATACACATTGCAGTATTACATTTCCTTGACAAAATAATGGAAGGAAAGTCATTTGTGTATGATTTTTGAAAAACGCATGAGTATTTTACCTTTATTGCAGACTTAACTAAGACAAAAGATAGCAGTTTCTTAAACTGATTTGGGGAAGCACATGAAATTTATGCTGCTCACTGGCAAGACAAGCGAAATAAAACCTTGATCTTATTTTGTGCTTATTGGTTAACATGCCAGATAACTTGCAGTGGCGCTTTATTCACAATGGACAGCTGAACAGATGTTTTCAGATATGTGTTTCAGACTCTCATATACAAAGCAGAAACATGCCATATCTCAGTGACGAAATGACTTTGGTATTTTTAGTATTTTTTTATTTTATGCATCTAGAGAAAAAAGTGCTTTCAGATGCCAAAAATCATTTCTTTCAAGGGCAAATAATTAAGTATTAAGCCAACTTACATAAAAATCGTGATATTTTAAGTATAAGATAAAGTCAGGAGAAATATGCTGAAAATTGGGTTGGCAGGAGTAAGGTCAGAAATCGGGAAAGTTGGCAACTCTGACTTCACTAATCTGATGATGAATTTCAGCCACTTTCAGTTCTTTAGCATCAAGAAAATGGACCACTGATCGTATTTCACAATCGGTGAGATTCTAAATCAGTGGAACCATTTTAAATACTTAAAAGCAAACATTAACACTGTTGAAAGTTTCCATAATGGCGCCCGTGGCTTCCCAACAGATGTAGGTCAACAGTAAACATACATAGAATGCTGACTGCAGCACTATTGTGATTACAGCCAGAATTTCAAAATGGCCTACTTTAAAAACATGCCTAGTATATGCCTGCTGAGAGCTGACACCCAAAATTTTTCATGATTACAATACTTCCTTTCCTTTGCACAAGGAAGTAAAAAAGGGAAGAAAAAATAGAGTATTCAGATTTTATCAGTCACTCAAAGAAGTTCTGTTAACGTTTCATATGGTTTATCAATACAGATTATCCATAGAGATGGCTCAGGTGTGATAGTGAAACACTTTATGATACTCCTTGAATAGACTTAGACTAACATGAAAATGTTCTATACTTTCTGTATACATGGAAAGGAAAAAATATATAACATCATTCAATAAAAATATTGAATATTTCTAAAGAGATATATGAAGAATTAAATATATTTTCATTTAAATCAATTTCATTTAACAGAAAGAAAATAATTAAGAACTGCATCTACTGCTTTTAAATAGCTTAGTTTGTTAACCCATAGAGACAAATTTGATTGAAAAGATAAATATCTTACATTTTCCAAAATGGCAACAGACTCGAATGAAAAGTGAAACAATAAACAGACAGTGAACATTTATAGTGAATTAAAGCAAAATCATTTCCAAGGTGGGCTAAAAATTGCTCTATGATAGAAATTTAATTACTTAAATATTAATTTTTGCTACTGCAAAAGTGCCAGATTTGAAACATAAAAAACATTGCTTAATAACAAGATTACGGTTCATAAACTATTTATATGATTTAGACATTTAGATTAACATGCAAAATATATGAATATTTACACTCAGAAAATCCTGAGTAGGGAAGCTAAGCCTTCATTTATAGGGTTACTTTGAAGTACGATTTAAAAAATATAATTAATATTATATTATTAGTCTGGCTAATAATCACATATATTGATGTCAAAAAATTAAATACAAATATTTACTGATGATTTTACATTGCTCAAATCTTTATAAGAACCTCCACAAATGTTTACAGTAGATTAAAACAATTAAGAACAAATAAAACTTAGTAAGAAATTTATGCTAAAAATCACTAGGAGGGGGAATGAAATTTGCACAATCTAAGTTTTATTTATTGCATAAAATACTTTCATTAACAGATAACTTTAACTAATTAAGACAGTAAAATTAAATTAAGTAAATTTTATTAGTTTAAGTAAATTAAGATTTTACAAAGGCTAAAAATTAAAAACAAGGAGATTTGGCAACCTACTGGGAAATTATGAGATTCAATGAAAACCTGAGACAGTTGGAAGCTACTCTAATGAAGTTTACATTTTAGGGTATTATGAAACAGAATCCCAATATTTTATGAAAATTAATAAAGAATAATATTCATAAGTAAACAAACTAATATTCATTACACTTATTGTACATAAGTATTGGTTGATAATCATGAACATGTGATAAATTTAATAACATAGCATGACACTCAGTTGACTTATATTTGAAACAAAATATATACAGAATGCATTTTTATTAGTGTTTCTGATCTGTGAAGAAAAATAAAGTAGTGTTTCAGAGTAACTTTAATATTTTAAGAGCGTTTGTTTTCTTTCAACTCTTTACTTTTTCATTTTTTATTCTCTTTGAATTCAGCAAATGAATACAGAATTTTTGCTAATATTAATTAATAAGTGTATTTTTTATTATTATTAAAAGTACTATAGCTTTAAAAATTAATTGATTTGGCAACTGATTCTGACATAACAAAAACTTAAAGAAATATGATTAAACAAATTTTGGATAAGTCTGTCAGAAGAATATCCTAAAATTAATTTAGAAGTCAAACAACAACCATTTGTGCTTTTGCAGCTGAGGATGATGGTTTGGTAAAACCTTCGAAACCAGTCCTGTAAAAATTTGAAAATACAACGTTGATTTTTATTGTTTGACTTCTAAATTAATATTTGTTCGACATGTTATTGTATCTTAATCCTAAAATTAGTTACTCATATTTTACTTCTTTTTGCAACGAAGTATTTCTAAGGCAGGTTTTCCATATTACACTGCAAAATAATCCAAATATAGAAACCAACTTGATACTACATCTTATATAAGAATTCAGCTTCCTAACATTGTGCCTGATGTTAAAAGAATTTGTAATTCGAAAACTTAAATACATCAAGGTCACAAAAAACAAAAATGCTTCAACTTAAGGGGAAAAAAAAAAAAATCATTTAAAAAGTTTAATGTGTCACTTTTTTTGTAAAATTTAAAACTGAAAAATACTCCTTTTATAAATACATATAAAAACTGAAATAAATGTTTACTTTGTTTATCACCTTATTATCTGTATTATGGTTTGTTACAACAACAAACTTAATTTGTATCTGTGTTACAATTTAACTTATATCTGTGTTAATTTATATTTGCATCAACTTATATCTCAGGCTCAGTGGTGCAATGGCTAGCACACCGCGCAGCAGCACCACAGGTCTGAGGTTTGATTCCCGGGCTGGGCAAGGTCGACTCAGCCTTTCATGACTTGGGTCGATAAAATGAGTACCAAGTTCACTTGGGGACTAAACACTGGGGACTAAACACTGATCACTTGTCCAGGGCAAACGCTTATGCACCATGAGGCCCACTGTCAAGGAAGCAGATTTTCGGGCACTGCAGGCTTTTGCCCATTGGGGCTGTTACGCCACTGAGTTTAGTTTTAGTTTTTTTCAACTTATATCTCTGTTATGTTATCCTTTAACTTATTTCTGTGCTATCATAATCCAAATTTACACTAGTGTTCTTTAAAAATTTTAGAATTAAAAAAGTCAGCAAGATGAGAAAACTTTGAGAAAAATTGTATTACAGAATTCAGACTGAAGGAATCAAATCAGTGTGAAGAATTCATGTGCAAAACAACAAAAAAACTTTACTTAATTTGGGAAACATTTACTTTTCTAGCAATATGTGCTAGCTGATAAAAAGTCAACCACAACCACAAAAAAATTCTGCATTTAATGGGTTTTTTTCTGATTCCACCTACATCACTGAGGGGGGGGGGAATAAAAGCATTCACGAGGCAATGTTTTATGCTAAAAAAGTTATGTGGCAACCTGTGATATTGCTAAAAGTATTCATGTGACAACCTAAGAATTCGTATAGTAAATTTTAAAAAAAGAGAAAGAAAGAGAGAAAAAGAATTTTTTTTTTTTTTTTTTTTTTTAAATTTTTTTAAATAAAGAGGTAAGTGTTTTATTATCAATGTTTATTACTTTCCACATTTTATTGAACACTTTTGTAGGCATTCTTAATGTAACATCACTTTGAATAGCTGTTGCCTTTTGAAAAGTTATGTGAATTGAGTACATTTTGGTAAGGAGGGCAGATAACCAGAAAGCACTGAATTTATAATGAAAATTAAAAACCCATATATCAATGGCTAATGAGTTAATAAACTATGAAAATAAAATTTTCTTTTCAAACTGAAGATGAAATGGGTTAAATAAAAATTAAGATATAAAAATCCAAAAATTGTAATTTGTTTAATGTTTGTATGCATAAATGCTTTATATTTTTTAGTCTCCAAAAGCCTAATTATGTATCAACATAAGCAAATGTGAATTTTGAAAAACAGATAAAAATTAATAAAGATTATCTACTTATTTCAATAAAATTTACCTGTGGGCTAATTCTACATGAGCTTGTTTTGCAGCATATTCCTTATCAGTTTTAGTTAATTCTTTTGTAATCACTAACTGTGATATATCGATTCGATTGCATAACAAATCAGATATGGTCTGTTTTGCATATTCAGTAGCTGCTTTAGGATCTCTGAAAATTGAAAAACAAGAGAGATTACTAGAATTGACAAATTATTATTCCATATTTTTTTAGCATGAATTATCAATGAAAAACTCCTTAATTTTATCATTAAGGCTATCAATGATATAATTTGGATGGGGAAAATATAACATAAATTGTAAGCATATAATACTGTGTCATTTTATAATTTAAAAAAAAAAAATAGTTCTTTTTATTTAAAAAATACAGTAAACCCCCCCTTAAAACAAACGCGCTTAAGGCAAACACTTAGTTAACATGGATAAAATTTCGATGCTGGCAGCAATGTATATGATCTTATAGGAAGTTTTATCGGTTAACACAAATTTCAATTAGCATGAATTACAAACTGCTATTTTTTTAGTCCTTTACATCATTAAATTTTGCCATTTAACCAAAAATTTCAAAGTTTTTCATATTATTTTCCCCTGTTGTTTCTCTGCTAGGGTTGCATCCAAATATGTTCCAGCTGTTTAACTGAAAACCTCTTATGACATTGGGCTCATAGGCACATACAGAAATGCCAACTAGGAATGTGCCTGATGCAATAAAAGCTATCATTGCACACTGAAAATCCATGCCATAACAACACTAGTACAACCTGGAGATGTAAAGAAGATATCCTGTTGACAACCTAGATGGTAGACAGAGATACTACCTCACCTGACAATAGTCTGCAAGACGTTGCGAACTCTGGTGTTAATTTTGAGGAGTTTGTTAGTGCAGATGACGATGTTGCTATGCTTGCTGCTATAGAATCTAATGTACAAGTATTTGTGTCTGAATTGCAAGAAATTTCACCAGACGAAAGTGAGGAGGACAATATCATTCTGCCCACTAGCCACATGCCTCACAGACAGCAATGAAGAACATTTTGCTACAATGTCAAAATTTATCGCTAGTTTTATGGAAGCCATGAGTATGGATGATTATACAGTTACGAGGCATTTTCATTCCTGTCTGCAATAGCCCAATATACAAGAATTTATTTTAGAAGTTAGACAAAAAAAAAAAAAAAATTAGTGTTATATTTGCAAATTTACACTCATTTTTGTTGTTTGACTTCTAAAATAATCTTTGTTTGTTGTGTTATTTTAACCTAAATTATACAAGAATTTCTCACCAAAAAATTATCTGTAAGTGCACATCTTCAAGTTACAGTTCAGTAGTACTATGTTTTCTATGACAACATGCATTATATATTATAGAACTTATATAATTATGTATTGTAAGTGGCTAATGTGTAGAAAAAATTATTCTAAAAGTAAAATTTCAGTCCCCAGTTAATATGAACTCTTGATTTTCCGGTCCTTTGGGATTCGTGTCAACGAGGGTTTACTATATACATGTAAAAATAAATACAGTCAAACTTCATTAAAACTTTATGTATTAATGTATAGTATTATTGTTTTATTGCTAATTGTATATTTCAGTATTCTTATTATAGAATTATTTGTACTATTATTACATATATTCCTCATTCTCTCCAGGTCTAAAAATTTCACACAATTGTTGTATTATATTTCCTTTGTATTAATGAGTTATTTACTACTGTTGTAGCCCTCGTTGAATATGAGAGTTTTGCATTTGTTTTGTTAAAAGGGGGGACAACACTATAGCAAACCCAGCTTATAATACACAAACATTTTGTTGCCATCTATTTCCTGTAAGACTTAATGTTATGTGACTATAACAAACTTCCAAATGCATAAAAATCAGATAAAACAAACTTTGTGGAGATAATGGATTGAAAATATTTTATATTCTTAAATTTTTTCCCATCATTCTGCAACTTTCAACTGAAAGATTACTAGTTCTTAAATTCATTCTGTTTAGGATACTAGAATATTTAAAAATAACTTTAGGTTACTGTTCCTTTATCTTCACTTTTCCATCTTTCATTGTGTTCTAAATAAAAAACTATATGAGGCATTTGTAAACCTCAATTTTTGAAAAACAGGAAATGCAATGAACATACTTTAGGAGATTCTAATGTGTCATGCACTGAGCCAAGGAACCATTGATGCATCTAGACAAGGAGCTTGAATCAGGGTTGCAACTCAAACATGAGAATGAAATTCAATGACTTTTCCAGTTGTATTTAAAGAAAATTCCAGTCTATCCACGTAGTACGTGTTGGCTGTGCTGAGAGGTAAATTAATTATGGAACCACTTGAAAACACAAAAATTTGCCAATTACATATGACTTATGATTATATATATGTATAATCCTAAAGCATTACTATTATAACTATAATAGGAGTTGTTTTCTCCACTGAAGATTGAGATTAGAATCTGCCCAATCCAGATTAAAAAAATGTCTTTTTTTGTAGACATTTTACAGCTAAATAAACGAAAGAAAGAAACAGATTTAAGGATATTTTAAAATAAATTCAGGTATTTTACATTTATTTAGCAGCACACATAAGCAAAAAATATGTGCATTAAATTTCTTGATGGTATGGCATCATATTGTTTGAATTAGTTTCAGGAGTATGTCAGAGAAAATTGCCTGAAATTTGAAAGGATTATTAACTAATAATAAATAAATTTTGAACCAAGAAGCCACATTAAGTGATTCGAATAACATCAAAATAAATTACTTAAAGATTAAAAACTGAATTACAATAATCAACAATATTTTGGAGAATATAATTATATTAAATGGTTAGCCTAGATGACTGATTACTATTTTTTTTTTATTTTACAACAAATTGACAAGGCATTTACTAAAAAGAAGAAAAAAAAGATTTAAAAGATTTTGCAGTAAAATTTTAGTATACGCTATGGCTTTGATGTGATTTTGAAAATTGTCGCCAACACCAAAATAACCCGTTTACTGTTCCTCATAATAGCGTCAAATCCCATGTACTACGATTAAACAGATTTTGTTTTATACGAGAATGGGAAGGTATTTTCTTTAGTTCAACATGCACTGCACATGTGCATGCAGGTCTCTCGATTCTCAATGTTACTGGAACCTTGCTTTGCCTTTCTAAGAGATAATCTGATTGGAGCTGCGAAAATTGGCTCTAGGCCAGCTGCTTGAATGACGCTCACAAAAACAATTAGCAAGAAAGTGATCGCTTCCAATGCTGATGCAAAACTCGCTTTTTTGGGAATCGCTATATGAAATTCCCTGATTTTTTTGGTCAATTTTCGAATTCCCTGAATTTTTCTGGTTTTTCAGGTAGTGTGGCAACCCTGTTGTTGAATTGGCTTGATTTCATGTGAGTTCTCTGATCAAAGTGTCGGACAGCATTCTATTCAAGATGCTTATTCATAATTACAAGAGCATATTTTAGTTGAAACCGTATAATTGATGGGGCAAGTCTAAACCGTGGCTTTTATGCCAAGTAATTTTTCATGTAAAATTATTAACACTGGATGAAACAGAAAAACAATGAAAAAGATATTTAGTAATTGCAGTTACTTTTGAATATTTTTTAAATTGAAGTTATTATTAACATTTTTAGGAAGATGTGGCATCACAGTTCTACACTACTTCTTGAGTTTTTTTTTAAATCAGAACGATATAGGAAAACAAATTTTTGATTACCTTCATTTTATTACAGTGGTGTTCGACTGCAATTTCAAAATTTAGCTAACAGAAACACAGGTTACTAAACTGTTAAGAACTCAAATTAGCATATATGTGCATGTTTGAAATTTTTATTAATCTTTTCAAACTATGGAATACTAACAAAACTCAATTCATTTTCGAGATAATTTGTATTTTAGAAAAAAAAAATCATAAAAATTTCTAAAACCATCACCTTAGTTCTATTTTTAGACTTATGTTTTATAAGTCATGCAGGCATGAGAAAACTACTTCAAAAGTCCTAAATATTACCTTCTCAGTAACTTAAATATTATGTTGTAAAATCTCTTAATTTAATCAAAAAAAAAAAAAGTGAAAAAATTTTATGTCTATCCATAAATATGAAATTTTTATTTTCAGTAGACGTCCAATAAGCAGTATACTTTAAAACATAAAGGTTACAAAATTTTGCAAATTTTAGGTTACGTTTTTCTTAGATCTCTCCAATTCTAATTTTAGATTGCTTGCATATAAGTGACTACCAAAATATGCTGACATCTTAAAAATTACTCAATCAGGATTTACAGACAGCACACCTATTTCATTTTTTAAATACAAATATGTACAAAGAAAATAACACCAGCAGAAAGATGAGACATAGCATAAATAAAGGGATAAATAAAATACTTCAGCATTCCCATCACTGAATTTACTTACAATGTGATTTTTATGCCTTTAAACAAAAGAAAAATTCAATAAAGTATTTACAAACTCTGCAATTCCCTTAATTTAATCCCTATATTAATTCTGCCATTTATGTTCCATGCATGTGCAGATAGATTAATAGCATCACCAGCAGTCAACTAAAACCGTTCTTTTCACTTTCTTTAACCATTTTACTTTAGTGCAGAGTTGCCATTCAAACAGCAGAATGAAATTCCCTGACTTTTCCAGGTTTTCCAAGTGTGTTTTTAAAAAATTCCTGAGAAGCATTTTTCTAGCTGATTTAAACATAAGCGAAGCTACAATGTAGCCATGTGTACATGTCATCTTATTAGATTTAAATTAATGACCTAAAATCTGGAATTACCAAAGTCTTGGGGATTCTAGATTTTGGACTTTGTATTGTATATATTGGACAGCAAATAAAAGCTTTTTCCCATTTCAGCCTCATGAGAAAAATAGAATAATTCATACTAATTGCAAATAAAATCAGCTACTCTATACATATAAACTAAAACTCAGTGTCTAAAAAGTTGTGGATGAATAAATTTACACATGTTAATTACATGCTATACACTATAAAACAAAAGCACTGATATGCAAGCAGAAATATCTAAAACACAATAAATTCACTTCTTCAGTTAAAATATGTCACAAATATAATGTATTTTTAAAAAAGTTTATTTGCACATACATATAAAAAAAACCACCACCTACTTTCCACACTGAATTTTTTGAAAATTTAAATTTTGTTGTTTACATATAAAAACATAAAAATACATACCGATTGCAGGCATATGCAGATTAAGTGGTTGTGGATTATCAAAATTCTATCGTGTCTCATACACATTCCAAAGTTAAAAGTTTATTGAAACTGATCAACATAAAAAAACATGCAACTAAAAAATGAAGTTAGTGTTGATTTCCACTCACCTGTCAATAAGAAGTTTTTCTAAACAGGTATTGATAAGATTAGCAACTAAAGGACAGTTATCCCTTCTGACTGTTTCAATGCCTTTGCAATCCATTTTATCATGAATTTCTGGTTTTGTGAAATATAATCCAGCATATCTTTTTTTACTGATCAGTAAGTACGGAAAATACACCTATATTAAAAATTGAGATGAAAAAAAATATGAATAAACATCATCTCTCACTCCCTCCTTGCTTACACATATATGTAGAAAAACAAACTCGCATACAAATTACGTTATTGATACATAAAAAAAACAAAGGATAATAAAGCAGACATCGCTTAACGTGATCATGTTTTCCTCCGACTATTTTGGTAACATTAAACAATGAGAAAACAATACCCTTCAAATAGCAATGGAATTTAACCAGAAACATATATATAAGTACTTTCGCAATATTTTAATTAGGGAATGGTAAAAATTTATTTATGAACTTTTTCCCAATGTCTTTAAAAGAGGACAGTGGACATTCAAATATATATTTTTTAATATTGTCATAGAGATTTGAAATTTTGCATACATGTATATTTTACCATAATTATATCAAATACCTTTGAACAAAATTTCTGGCTCATTGAAATTCAGTTTTTTAAATTTTTTCAAAATGCTCTATGCATCTTAATTTTTTTAAAAAAATTCTTGTTACTTTTGCTTTATTTTTATTGAAAATGCATTACACACACAGTTTAATATGAATTAGCGAAATGTATAAAATGTTAATTTTTAATTAATATTTCTTTTACACATACCTAAATTTCGGGAAAAATTTTACACTTTAATTGAACTTTTATTCTTTTTATGAATTTGCATTCAAAAATGCATACTATGTTTTGTTACACGTATAAACAGGAATCTAAATTACAAATTACATTCGTTTTGAACATAAGCACACTTACCTTTAATACTTACTTCCTAGTATGTACGAATAGATGATTTTATTTAACATTAAATATTTTTTCTACTAATAAAATTGTAGAATGGCTCGAACACTTTCGTAAATTTCACTAAATATATTTTTTTCAACTATGAATCACTTTAAAAAACTTCCGGCACCATATGTTTCCCTATGGTTATTTACATTTTCATTATGTTTTGTTATTTTACACACTTTTTTTTCAATCCTTCTTTCCTTATATCCAGCCGAACACATCTTTTCACTTTGGTCTATGAGACAGTCGTCATACGTCATCAGTTGCGATTGATTTTGCTGTTTTGGTATTCAATTGAAACACAATGATCACTCTGAGCTCGCGATCACTCGTTCTCATAGCGATCACTTGGAACCCATCATTCCGCGGCGAAAAACGATCGAATCAATATGGCGCCTGTGTTGTTTGTGCTTTCACGAGGACAGAAATCAAGTGTGCTAAAGAAAATGTTTTAGATCTGCTGAGTGAGCAGCAACTTATATCAAAGTATAGGGTGTATAAGGATCCTAGCAAGGGCAGCTGACACATCATCTGTGTTGTATCCAAATTAAGTGCACTTGTTGCTAGTGGACATTGATTTAGCGTTGTGTTGTTTATATTTGTGTTGATGGATTGCTACCTAATTCAGAGAAATATGCGTAGATGCACTGCATCAAATTATTCATATCGTTCCAGAAATAACTTTAGTATGTTCTATTTCCCGAGAAATGAAGAAAATGGGTAATTAATTCTTGTCCATTAGAATAGATTCCGATCGCAAGACCGTGCGCTTTTGAAGTAAGTTCAGCTTTATGTTTTCATAATTGTTAAAAAAATAAGTGTTCATGTTTCAGCGAAATGTGTACAGCCAAAAGTCGTTAATTCGGACACCCATAATCCAGACTTCAAAGCTAAAAACTTTCTGCGCATGCGCCGCATTGACACATGCGCGTAAGACCTCTTACGACTGCGCGTTTGCGCAAGCGCAGAATACGTTTTCGCGTGCTCGTTTTATGTATAACGAACAATATAAGCTAAAATTCTCTAATTATCTATTTCAGATAATGTTGATGATTGCGTTGTTCCTTAATTTTCGAATTGGATCCAGCTTATTATTTTTTGCAGACT